GGAAGGAAGGAAGGAAGGAAGGAAGGAAGGAAGGAAGGAAGGAAGGAAGGAAGGAAAAAAAGAATAGCAGAATAACTGAATAACAGAATTGGAAGGGACCTTGGAGGTCTTCTAGTCCAACCCCCTGCTCAAGCAGGAGACCCTAGACCATTTCAGACAGGGGCTGTCCAGTCTCTTCTTAAAACCTCCAGTGATGAGGGAGGGAGATAAGATGGATGGATGGATGGATGGATGGATGGAAGGAAGGAAGGAAGGAAGGAAGGAAGGAAGGAAGGAAGGAAAAAAAGAATAGCAGAATAACTGAATAACAGAATTGGAAAGGACCTTGGAGGTCTTCTAGTCCAACCCCTGCTCAAGCAGGAGACCCTAGACCATTTCAGACAGGTGGCTGTCCAATCTCTTCTTAAAAACCTCCAGTGATGAAGCAGCCACAACTTCTAGTGGCAAGCTGTTCCACTGTTTAATAGTCTTCACTGTTAGGAAGTTTCTCCTTAGTTCCAGGTTGCTTCTCTCCTGGATTAGTTTCCATCCGTTGTTTCTTGTCCTGCCTTCCGGTGCTTTGGAGAATAACGTGACCCCCTCCTCTTCTTTGTGGCAGCCCCTCCAATACTGGAATCCTGCTATCACGTCACCCCTAGTCCTTTTTTTCTCTAGACTGGCCCTTCCCAAATCCCGCAGCCGTTCTTCGTATGTTTTAATCTCCAGGCCTTTAATCATTTTAGTTGCTTTCCTTCGCATTTTTTTTCCCCAAAGTCTCATATTGATCCTCCAAGAAAGCCGACAAAAACTGTGCAAAGTTATGGATTGGGCCCAAAGCCAACCTGATTTTTAGCAATCCCCCCTTGCTCTGTTCCACACTTTCTGCTTTTTTTGGAAAGACGCGGTTGAGGTTTAGCAGAGACAGAACCAAACAAGAAACAGATGAAGATGGATGGAAAAAAACTCAAAATATAAGCTCATGCTGCACATAAATTGCTTTTGCATGCAGTCTGGAAGGGAAGCCAAATTGCTTGGCCGGGAGCCTTACAAGCTGGAAACTCACAAGTTTTCCCTACTCAAATGTTACTCGCTCGAGCAGCGAGGAGTCTCGTTTGTTGGCGAGGTCACTTCTTACAAATTGGGAAATGGTCATTTCGGATTTTGGGGCGGAGACACAGAGATATATAAACTACGGGCTTTCTTTGGCTGCAACAGCAATTTTTAAAATTTCTTTTTATTCTGCTTTATTTTTACGGATTCGGTTTCTACCGCCGTCTCACGCTTTCTAAAGTCTTCCCCACCGGCTTTTCTCAACCTGAGACGCTCCTGGTGTCGTTGCGGACTCCCACGCCCATCGCTCTGAGCTGCACTTCCTACAGGCCGTCCTCGGTTTACAACAGTTCCCTTAGTGGCCGTTCAAAGTTACAACGGCAGTGGGAAAAAAAGCGACTTACGACTGCTTTTCACGGTTACAAACATTCCGTATCAAAATCCGGACGCTTGGCAAATGACTCCTAGATACGACGGTCGCAGCGTCCCGCGGGAGTCACGTGATCCCCAAAGTCAAGTGGGGGGGAAGCCAGACTCACTTAACAACCGGGTTGCTGATTTAACAGCTGCAGCGATTCAGCTAACCGCCGTGGCCAGAAAGGACGAAAAATGGAGCAAAATTCAACATTCTGCAGAAAGAAAGGGTCACTGTTTCCCCCAGAAATCCAATGGGCCAAAACTATAACTCCGGGCGCCAGCTTCTGCCTCTCGAAGGACGCCCCGGCTCAGGTGAGTTTGCACCCTTCTTCCCCCATTGTGTTTGCGCACAAGCTCGGAGCACGGAAGAGAAACAGGGCAGAAACTCAGCCAGCCGAAGAAGCAGCCGGAGCCAAAACCTGGAAGATTTGCAAATGACCTCAGCCCTCAGAAATGAGGCTAGCTAAGAAGGAGATTTTGCAAGGCTCAACATCTGCCCTCCAGATGACTCAGGACTGCAAAGGCCACGATTCCCAGCCGGGCTGTGCAAGCAGTAAAAATGCATCTCCCTCCCTCTCTCTTTTTCCCCTCCTCTCTCTCTCTTTTCTCTTTCTCCCTCCACTCTCTCCCTTCTCCTCTCTCTTTTTTCTCTCTCTCTCTTTTCTTTCTCCCTCCTTCTCTTTTCTCTTTCTCTTTTCCCTTTCTCCCTCCTTCTCTCTTTTCCCCTCTCCTCTCTTTTCTCTTTCTCCCTCCTCTCTCCCCTGTCCTCTCTCTCTTTTCTATTTCTCTCTCTCTTCTCTTTTTTCTTTCTCTTTTCTCTTTCTCCTTCCTCTCTCTCCCCTCTCCTCTCTTTTCTATTTCTCTCTTTTCTTTCTGCCTCCTTTTCTCTCTCCCCTTCTCTTCTCTCTTTCTCCCTCTTCTCTCCCTTCTCTTATTTTTTTCTCTTTTCTTTCTCTTTTCTTTCTCCCTCTTCTCTTTCCCTCTCCTCTCTCTTTTCTATTTCTCTCTTTTTCTTTCTCCCTCCTTCTCTCTCCCCTCTCTTCTCTTTTCTATTTCTCTTCTCTTTCTCCTATTTCTTTCTCCCTTCTTCTCTCTCCCCTCTCCTCTTTTCTCTTTCTTTTCTTTCTCCCTTCTCTCTCTTCTCTTTTTTCTTTCTTTTCTCTTTCTCCCTCTCTCTTTTTTCTTTCTTTCTTCCTCCTTCTCTCTTCTCTCTTTCTCCCTCCTTCTCTCTCTTCTCTCTTTCTCCCTCCTCTCTCTTTTTCTCTCTCTCCCACTTCCTGCAACCAGCAACATTAGCTCAAAGTTTGCTTTGGTCATTTTCTGGCCCTCTTTTTGCTAAAATAACTGTGGGTTTTTTTTAAATGAGACTGTCTTTTCCATTTCTGACCGTTGCAGGGAAGAGGGAGTGAAAAGTGAGGGGGAAAAAATAGGAGCTGCTATAAGATGCGCCTGGTTTCCCCGAAAATAAGACCCAACTGGAAAAGAAGGCCTAGCCTGATTTTTCAGGATGCTCGTAATATAAACCCCCCCAAAATAAGCCCCAGTTAAGATCGTCAGCCAGACAGACTCATTTAGTACCGTATTTCCCCAAATATAAGCCCTAAATGGAAAATAAGCCCTTATGCATCTTTGGGAGCAAAAATTAATATAAGACCCGGTCTTATTTTGGGGGGAAATATGACAGAGGGTTGATTTTGGCTGGAGGAGTCATGAAATGTTTCTCCCAAAAAAGGGGGTCTAAATCCTAATAAATGCAAACTCCCCATCTCTGGGTTTGTTTGTTTTTAAGCAGAATATCTAAGGGAGAAGACATTGACAGGGTGCAGTCTCCCAGAAGGGCGGAGGAGAAACCAGCAGATGCCAAAAGGCAGGAGACAGAAGGGAGGGTCCCATAAAAGGGCTCAGCTGACTGGCTGGCACACCACG